GCTCAGTCAAAATAAACTACAGAATGTGTTTATGGTAATGAAGGAACATGTCACCCAGTGCAACAGTGTTAACAAACAGTGGTTCGTTTATTTTTGGACAAAAATTGAGCTGTATGGTGCAGAGGAAGAAGATATATCAGGGTTTAATACACACAATACTCGTAGGTTTGATAAGGTTCTTGCACGAAAACCATTTGTTTAATTTTAGGAAAACTTCGTTGCCATGGTTAGAAGAAAGTTGACTGTTGCTAGGAGATGGGATGTTACTGTGTCACACACAGTGTTGACCCAAGCTTTCACACTGACCTTTCTGGTTTTTCTGACATTATGACAGTTTCATACTCCCCCTGTGTGTTGAAGAAATGTGAATTTCAAATGACAACATAAGGTGATCAGAATGATGAATGATTTTTTTTACTGCAAATGATGAAGAAAAAGAAAAAAAGAACATTCTGGTGAATTATTTCCTCAGCAAGTTAGTTTTGAGATTCACATCTTTAAACTTTGCCAGTTACAAATGAGAGAGAACACTGGTTTTCAACCTGGTGGTCCCCACCCCCACTAGGGGTTGCAAGGCCTTCCTTATTTTAAGGGGTGTTAAAAAACAGTAGGCCTTTATCTCAGCATTTCATTCATTTGTGTGAAGAAACTTGCATCAAATTGTTATTTTTTAAAGTTTAGGTTATTATTTAAGATATAAAAGATATCCAACCTTACAGGATAAAGGCACAGTGAAAACCTGAACACAAGCTGTATTCACAGAGCCTTCCCTCTCTTATAATCTCTCACTCTCGTCCAGCATTAGAAAAGTTCAAACAACTAAAGAGTTATTAGAAATATGTCCCTTAGTCAGTTTACTCACTGATAGAAAATGGCTCCCTTAAGGGTACACAGTATACTACAACATGAGGAAATCCAAACACAACCTGTGTTGTGACATTTCAAACTTTACCTTTGAACGACACACACACACACAAAAAAACGTAAATTCTTAGTTTTTTCTTTGCAGTCAGGATGCAGCAGGTCTTCAGCACACTGTTAGATATTTCAGCTCATCTGTGAACTAATACTTCCTGCTGCACTGTATTCCCATACAGTGTATTACCATACAGTGCAGGTGTAAAGTGGGAGGGAGTGACAGCATCCTGTAGGTTGCTGTAATGTTCCAGTGTGAAGTTTATAATTGCTTGTTACTGTATTGTGTATTGTGAGCATGTTTGTCTACCCTCAGACCACTGCTCCGTATGGTACCAGGGGTAAGCTGCTAGCACTGACTCAGAGGGACAGATTGGGCTTCTTCCCTGTTAATCCGGACAGTATTTGCTCATACAGATGATGACCCCCTGTCATGATTTGTCTGCATCCTGGATGAAACTGGATTTATCTTCCCAACTGCTCTGAAAAGAATACTCCTAGGCTGAAGTCATCTAAGTGGTGGAGTGATTAGAACATGCTCACCTATATATATATATAAACCTTCAGGAGGTTTCTACCGGGAGCCCAATGATCCACAGAGGTCTCCTCCTCTCTAAAACAAACTGACCAGCTGATTAAAACTGCTAAAAACACTGAAAAAAGCAGTTCCACCTTAAAAATCACAATTTCTCCAATGCTATTTGGTGGACAAAGGACGTCCAATGACTATCTAGTTGATATATGTAGTTAAAAAGCACAAAGCTCTAAACAGTGGATGGTATGAATGTGGCTTCAGACTGGATAAACAGTCAATGTATGACAGCTTCTGGCAGACAACCACAACGCTGACGCAGGCACAAAGGGGATATGACGCCATCGACAGGCAACCGGTGAAACGCAGCGTTACCTGAATAAAATGACAGATTTCTCTGAGTTTGATTTTTGTTGGAAACATTTGGGATAATGGAAGTACACAACTCAACTACATATAGAACATAGCTCTAGGGTTTATAGACACTTTAATGTGGAAATGGCTTTACCTGCAATTTGAAATGCTGAAATAATATGTGACAGTCCCAATTTATTGAAGGGAAAAATTAAAAGGGTGTCAGTTGACTTTTATTTTTGTTTGTTTGTCTCTTTTCCAGGTAAATTCCAGTGTTTCTGTATAGTTCTCCGTTGTCTGTGTATGGTTCCCCACAACAAATCACCTCTGCCCACATAGAGAGCTTGGCTAGTTTTCACCTAAATATGTAAATGTATAAACTGCAATTATACTGTACTGTTCTTTAGCTATTCAGGATCCAGTTCAAAAGCAATATTAGTATTAAGTCATTTATTATTATTATTTATTACACTTCTGTTATATACAGTACTGCATATATATTTTGAATGTCTTATTTTTTATTTTCTACATATTGTTATATGCTGTGATATAATGTACACTTTTTAAACAATTTTTCTACTTTCTATATATATTTTTATATATATTTCTTATATATATATATATATATTTTTATTTTTATTTTTTTTTTTTTTTTTTGCTAAGCAAGTTGAGCCACTGTAACGAAACCAGTTTCCCCATGGGGATCAATAAAGTATTTGTGATTCTGAATCTGATAACAACTTTGTCAATGCCACAGCCAGCGGTAAACATGCTAGCCGATTAGCCCGCCAGCAGCTCAGAGCTACCCCCATCATTCACGTGACCCTTGCCTCACAGGTCGTAGCTGTCCACCAATAAATCTGAGATGTGGGTGGTAATTAAGAGGTCTGGAACCAGGCTACCACTCAGCTGTTTGAATTGGAGGCATGCACTCTATATGTAGTTTCATGTTAGATGATGAATAGTGGGAGTCACAAATCTAAAGTACCGTCTAAGAAACAAATTTAAAATTCAGCACTGTATAAAGAAAATAGGCAGAAAGATGTCAGCCTGCTGTCTCTTTCTCCATTGTGTGGCCGCTCTAATGAAAGCAGCAGCCAGTCGCTGAGGAATGTGGAGCTGTGACTCACTACTTTACACATTTGCATTTCGCTGGTTGAAGGCGCTGAAGTGAGGAGGCCTGTCTCTCCCTCACGTCCTTCCCCTCCCCCTCCCCCCTCTTCCAGTGTTTAATTAAACTTTTTTTTGTTGTTGTGAACGCAGCAGGTTGGAGCTTAGCCTGACGCTGGGCTCAGGGCCTGGGATTGCAAGTTGGGGTTGGGGGTGGGAGTGTGTGTGGGAGTGGGAGTGGGGGTGAGTAAGGCATTCATCTGCCACGGCCTCCGCCAACCAGATAGGTGCTGGATAAGCTCCCTCCACCTCTGCTCCCAAAGATGGGGGTGGAAGTTGAGGGGACTGGGGAGCAACAATCCAGTGCTCCAAAACCTACACTGATGATAATCCTGGACTGGACTTCAGGCTTGGCTCAAAACAAATGAGTTTGCGTTTTATATTATACGTGCAAATTTCATTCTTCACATACATAAATAAAACTTTTAAGTTAATATAAAAAATGATATAAAATATGTTTGATATTAGACTAATATTATGTCAGTGATGAGTTTTGCTACTTGTTTCATTAATGTACATTAATGTTATGTTAATACATTAAAAGACTAGTGTGTTAACCGGACTGGAGAGAGAGAGGGAGGAGTTCGTTACACGGAACCATCTGGGAAGTCGTCACTGGGAACAGTTTGGAAAAGGGCAGGCACTTAAAAAAAATACTAGGCAGGTGATTGGATAAACCGTCTGTCTATCACTGTCTATTAGGAATGTAAAGATATATTGTGAGATAGTTAAATTACAATACAAATATGTGAAGAGTCAAATCAGGGACATGAACATGAATTGTGATACTCTTTTTAAACAGCAGAGGGCGCTATCTTGTTCAACATCCTACGTCACTTGTGTCAGTAGCTGTATCAAGGCGCAAAGACATCCGTTTCACTTTTACACAGAAAAGAAAATATGGATTGTTTTGCACAGTTTAAACCTTACCTGAGAAAAATAAAAGGATTCTATAATTTGATAAAGTGTAAGAGAAATATATATCATGTAGAAATAAAGGATTCTTTAGTCATAATTTGACTTCAGTCTCATTTGGTTGAAAAAAATCATGAGAAAATCATATTGTGAATTGTATCAAAATTGTAGGTTGAATGTATCGTTTCATCCCTACCTACCACATTCAACCATGCCTGAACATCAACCAATTAGATCAACAAACCATATAACCTAGTCACACTTAATGAAGCAGTCGGAAGAAGAGCGAAAACATCATTTCCATCTAAAGTCTTCAGTGCTGTTCTTTTCTCTTCTTTCAATGAAGAAATACTCTGTAGATAAAATTATTTATTTTTAGTAGCATATCACAGATAGGCATCCCTGTTGTTCTTTGGTTTGGAATCCATAGTGTTTCCATACATCTAGTCAAGCCTTCAGTCGCGGTGACAGACATAGGATCTTGGAATGACTGGAATGATGCAGCTCCCCCTTGTGGCAATTCAAAAATAAATCATTCAAGATAAGGATATTTACTTTAATCCTGATAATTACGGATGTAAAGTGCACTCAACTCATGATTCTACATAATTAATGATACTGGATTCACGATACGATAAACAAGACAAGTATGGCTAAACCTTTTCTTAGACAAAAATCTCGGAAATACATATGCTCATATTCTTTATCAAATTATAAAAGCCTTTTTTCATTTCTGAGTTAGAGTGAAGTGATCTTTGCGCCTTAATACCACCACCACGATTGATATCACTAATCAGTTTTCATCTCACTGATTTGAATCCTCACATATTTGTTTCATGATTTAACATCTCCTTACAGTCCTTTTTCCCCCCGCAATCTGTAATAAATCGTATATTGGATATTGTCCCTTTTAATGTAAATGTATTAATAATGGAAGAGAACAGTGTCCAGTTCTATTCTGGTTTAGGGAGAGACACAGAGATACGATCAGTGAACCAGTGGTTGAATGAGTCCAATCCAGTACTCCACCTCATGTTTTCCTGCTCTCACTCTCTGCTGGAGTGATTACTCTGCTTTACTCCAGCCCAGCTTGGTCCCCAGAGAGACTCACACACACTCCAAAACACATGCTTACACATGATCAGATCAGACCCAGAGTCCCAGTGGTCAGGCATGGAGGTGCTGGAACTCACTCCCAGCAGCTAAAACTTGGAGCAGCTTGGATGGAGCGCTGCAGTGTGCTGGATGGAGAACCTGTGGACTGACAGCATCACTCTGCACTGACTGGAGACCTCAGCAGCCTGTTTTACCATGGAGTTTGGAAGAGTTTGGTCCAGATATCAGAGAACACTGCTGATCACCATGATGATGTTCAAACTGGGTAAGGCTTCAACATGTGCACTTTACCATAGAAACACATTCTATATATATACATGAGTATATTTGTATTTGAAAAGTCACAAATTCATCCAGAAGTGTAGCTGTAACCATGTGTCAAATGTGTGCAACCCTGTTTACAGTATGTGTGCACATGCATGTTGATTTGTGGGTGTAGTGCTTACTACTCTTCACAAAATGAAGTAACTAAAACTAAATTTGAAGTAAACTCAGCAAGTAGATATAAAGTTAGTAGTCATATATTTACTTACCCTTTTCAAGGCAATTGGTGTCCTAGATTTTTTAAAGTAAGATTGTCCGATTTGACAGTGACAGGAGCATACTGTAGAAGTAAATGATAGTTTGATAACCATTTATTTTACAGGTCCGTACTTCCATGAAGTTTCTTAGAAAAGGACCATGCAATTTGGTGGTAAATATAGGGGACATATTATATTATATTGACAATGTTCACCTGGTACACTTAATTGATATATTTCAATTAGTTGCTAACTCATTTAGGTCAAATGAATATGCAAAAACATAATATTTGTCAACAAGCAAGTTGCACACACGGTGAATAATACATGAGTAATAAATAAATGATAGCACACATTTTACCTTTAATTAAAAGCAATTTACTTTCCAGTAAATCTCCTAGGAAATTATGGAGTAAAGTACCACCAGTTTATTTCACATTTTAAGTTTTTATTAAATAATAGCATCAAATACATCTTTTAACAGTAGCTCAAGAATCATCATTTGTTGTGTATACACTATATTGTAATCCTGACCAGTAGCTTAGAAGCAAGTGATGTGATAAATGAAAGGTTCATTTATGTATTGATTGTAGTGTTTTTATGTGTAGGTTACTCAGATTTCTACACATGCCACATACTGAATTTGCTTAAAAATTCATAACAACTCATTTAAGAGGCTCTAAGTAGCACGTTTCCCCTCGTGTGTGATGAATCTGCAGCTGGTGTCTTGGGGTGTCTGTGTGTGTGTGTGTGTGTGTGTGTGTGTGTGGGGAGGGGGGTTGATTGTCTTGGTTGACCCCCAGCACCTTATGAAACCCTGTTGACCCATTTTTCCCGCGACCTTCATTTGTGTGAGGCGTCTGAAGCTCGTTTAAGCGGTGACGGAGCGGAGGCAGGGATTGGCTGCGGGTTGCATTGTTAAAGGATCCCCATGGTAACGAGCTGAGCGTCCGGCTGCACTGCTGCACAGCTTTTTTGTCTCAGCGTTGAATAGAGGGAGTGATGGGTATTAAGGAGCATGGTGAGAGACCTGGCACTTGAGAATTTAAAGAAAAAGACAGCGGCCGAAACTGGAAGCAGAGTACATGTGATGATGAAGACCAGGATGACAGGGATTGTAAGACAGAGAGTTTGTCTTGTGATACTGCTATATTCAAGAGTTAATTTGGCAGAAAAGTACACAAAAGAACGAGCTTAGCATTTACAAATCAATTTACTGTGAGGAAGCGACTAAAACATTGTGAGCAGGATAGGGATTTGAGTGGAAATGGGCCCAAAAATGTTATGAACTTAAGCCTGAACAGCAGCACTTTCAAGAAAGAAGGAAAACGCCAGCAGAGCCATCCTTTCTATTGGCCTCTTAAGGGCTGCCATCTCCAGATGACACACACAAATTAGACAAGTGCATTCTGGGCTTTCAGTGTAAAACAGTGTCTAAGCCGAGGAGGATTCTTTCCAAAAAGAGTTGGATACTGGTTACTCAGAAAGATGGAAAATATGTAGTAAAATGGTCCTCATGTGTGTAAAAGCACACAGTACTTAAGTGTTTTACTTTTTAAGGAAAAGGTTTGAAAATCACCAGGAGGAGCCAACTGATAACTCCTCAGAAATGACTCATCTTATTACCAGAAAGCACACACTGGAGTTCACTGTAATGACTACTCCCACCATCTGCCAGAGACCTTTTTAAAAAAACCTTCAGATGAAAGTGGCTTTACCTTGTCCAGACAAAACACACACTGTGCGTGTCCCCCAAACTAGACAAAAACCTTAGCATTAGAAATGACGCAGCCCTTGCAGCAGTTAACTCTCGCAATTAAAGGATGTGTGTCTGTGACTCAGTGTGTAACTGTGACTGATTCAGAGAGGATTTGTGCATTTTTTCTGTACAAAGCAACGCAGCCACCTGCCGTGGAGCCTTTGGAGCACAAAGCCGAACCCAGGCAGAGCTGCCAGTCTCTTGTGGTGATTCAATAAAATTCCTCTGTGCTCAACTTGTGTGTTAGCCAGGGGCTTCCCTTTCTCTGTGATTCATAGCATTGCTGTTTCCTTTGCCCCGCAGCGAGACTGTCTGTTGACTCTGTTTTCATGACTTGGGGTAAACACTTTCTCTCACTCTCCTCCAGCCTTTTGCACCTGCCAAGAAGAGTGTCTTCATCTCATTGTCTCAGACAGGCACAAAACTCTTAAAAATTATAAATGGTTTTATCAACATTTCTTACAGTGTAACATATTCTCACTGCCATCTACAAAACACACATTTGTTTACTATGTGCTTTGGGAAGTTGGGCTAAAGGTTTGCTCAGGCCTCTCTGTGTGATTCAGGCACAGAGCAGTTTTGAATCCGTATAATACTTTAGAATCAGAATTAGAATCAGTTTTATTGCACACTAAACATATGAGAAAAATAGAAATAAAGATGAAATACAGACAATAAAAAAGACAATACATACAAACATATCAAGACAATATGTACAATATGACTGTTATTTAAATGATGAGCTGTAGAATTTCTGCAGGAATATGCAAAATATTGTCCAATGTCCATGTGTCATTCTACACATGGTGCACATTTCCTCCTGGTCAACATTTCAGGCTCAAAAATCTTGTTTCCTTACTTCTAAAAGTTGTTTCTCTTGACTTTTTAAAAATTATATTAATATTTATAATATTTAATATATTGATTAACATCCAGTGAAAAGACCAAAACCAACAATATATTAGCCTGTCTTATAACTTTATACATGTCTGTGTGTGTCTGTGGCACAATGGTTTCTGCTAAAGATGTAAACGTTAAAAACAGTTCACAATTATACATTATTCACTGTAGTTTTATATTGTTCTTCAAACATCAGGTAATAGTTGGGGACTCTTTTCAGTGGCAGATTTATTCACTATTGGTGCTCTAGTGAGTATGTGGGGCAGCAGGACTGTGTTTATGGGGCTGAGTCAAAATGAACTACAGTGTGTGTGTGTGTGTGTGTGTGTGTGTGTGTGTGTGTGTGTGTGTGTGTGTGTTCATTGTAATGAAGGAACATGTCAGCCAGTGCAATAGTGTGGCTCACTGATGTGCTTTTATTCGTTTTTGGACAACAATGGAGCTCTAAAATATATCACCATACTAAGCCTTTAAAAAGTTGTGTTAAGTGTATAAGTTGTGTTAGCAACATGCATCCTCATCTACTGTACAAACCCAACATTATCTTGAGGCCATTACCTCAATTTCTTACATATCTAAGAAATCCTGTGGAGCGGTATTATGTTAAATGTTAAGGTCAGAAATCAGTGTTTCTTCTTGTCCCTACAGTGTGCTGTGTGAATGCTGTCTGTGCAGTTTGACTCCAGAAGGATGTTTTCACATTCATCAGCTGAAAGTGGAAAGTTTCTCTGTGCTCATTGAAAATCTCATTTTAAGGGGCGTGCATGATTTGTGACATCACAAATAGTTGGGAAGTCAGTCCTGGTCCAGTATCAACTTGTACAATGTGATGTAGAAACCTGAAGCCACCAGTGCACATCCACTGAGAATGGACTTTACAGTGAAGGAGGAGACATCTTGTGTCCAGCAGGAAAACTTTAGAAATGAACATTTGCATATTCAGAGATTCTGGAAGTTTTAATGAGGTAGAAGGAGGGGATTACTTTTTAAGGATTATAATGAAAAAACATATCAGACACACATTATTGTTGTATATATGTCTCAATACATGTCTGGAGGTGATCTTTAGAGATATGTCTCCCAAACACTCCCTAAGAGACTCAGGAGGTCTCTTGGAGAGCATCTGTGGTGTAACAGATAACCTGACATCCCTCTAGCTGCTGGCAGTCAGCAGCTCTGCTCAGTGTTACTGTTGGGCTGAGATGCTGGTACCAGTCAGTGCCAGGATCAACCCTGTCTGGCCATAACCATGATCTATGAAGTGCTCAGTAATGTGGGGGGATGGGCTGTGTGTAGGAGGAGTTGTTATCAGCTCCCTGGAATGTGTGAGGGGTTGATTGGGTTTGGATGGAGGGGTAAAGAGTGAGGAGACCCTCATTGTGTCTGTCAGCCCCCTTCTACAGGATCCATAAGATTATAGGTTAGTTCTGAGTTTGGCTCAGCAGGCCAGTCCTGAGAGATCTGGGCTCTCCTTCACAGGGTAGGCGAAAGAGAACAATGATGAGAAAAAGTAAACAATGATCTCAGTGCAAGTGAGAGCCAGAGGGAGTTAAGAGAGAGATGCAAAGACATGATGCAAGACAGAGGAAATGACACTTCTGACAAAGACAACACGGCTTAGGTCGAGATAAGGAAGAAGAAACATGCAAAACATACCACCTTTGCATTCAAACCTGGGTCAATAACACATCCTGTAGTATTTGGCTCACCTTGTGATATATGGCAGCTTCACTGTAAAACGTTAAGTAATAAGTTAACTCAAAAATTAAAAAGTTTTTTTAACTAACACTAATTCATTTTTTTAGGTTAAAAAAGATTCTTGATGTGTCGCCCGGTTAACTCAGTGGGTAGAGCTGGCGACCCACGTACCGAGGCTGGGTTCTTGCTGCAGACGCCCAGGGTTCGAATCCAACCTGCAGCCCTTTGCTGCGTGTCATCCCCTCTCTCTCTCTCTGGCCCCCCCTTCCTGTCTGTCTTCAGCTGTCCTATCAAATAAAAGCCCCCCCAAAAAAAGATTCTTGATTAAGCCACTTTTTACAACATTCCAGATTAAGAAAACTATTTTGTTTTCACATTACAAATAAAAATGACAAAATTAAGTCACTGTCACTTTAAATTGCTAAAGCTACCTAATTAAGAATGTTTTTTTTTACTTACAAACTTAAATAAACTTTACTGCATTAACAGACTTCTTATAAAAAAGGTTATTCCTATCTCTAAAAAATTTCATGCATCTTAGAAAGAAACTCATAAGGTAATGTTATTGTCAAATGCATGTTCACTCTTCCATAAAAATTCCTTTCTGTAAATTGGTTGAGAAGAAACAAAACAAGGAAAACACAACAAACCCCACCATCAACTAGCGTTTTGGATGTGTTAATTGCAGAGAAACGCAGACACACCAACACACAGGTATAAATGCTCACAATGGTGTAGTTCTCTTGCGTAGGCTTGGCGTAGAGCCTACATACAGCTATAAATCAGCCTTTAGACACTTAGGAGCTAGACTTGGTCTAAACGTCTAAACAGTTGGTCTTAAGTGCAAAGTTCTTTATCAAACAAATCCAACCAGAGTTCAGACAGTTTCGAAGGACAAAAAAGCAAAGCATTACCAATCTCGAATGACTCAGGTCTAATTGCACTTTACCGCTCCTTACTCTAACAGTGTCAGCACTAGCTTAGGTTATAAACACTATGCTGGGACTTGTTAGCTTTCAAATTAAATCAGAGGAAGCACAAACAACACTTAGGATTTATCAGGTATGGAAAGCATCACGACTGTGGAGGTGAAGTGAGGGACTTATGTGAGGAAGAAGGCTCGGTGTTAGATAAAGGAAGTGATAGCAGATGCATGTGAGAGGAACTCAGGAGTGTTGGATGCAGTGGGAAATGAGGAGTGTAGGGGTTGCAGTAAAGGAACAGATTGTTACTGGGATGTTGTTGATGACTTGCAAGTGGAGGAGTACATTGTCTGCCATTTTGGATTTTATCCAAAATACCCTACAGTTCCATGATTCCATTAATTTCTGAGAGTTGGTGCTTGTGGTGGAAATCAATCACCTTGTTAGGAGACACAAGGGAAGAAGTTGTCAGAATTGGCTTGGTCGACACATGGGGTTTCTCTACCTTAAGCTTTGTTTATGCTTGTTGCAGTGCCAAGTGCTTAATGTCCTAACACACCGCATGGACCGTCGGCTGTCAGATAATGTTGGGCTGTCAGTGGCGGTCTAGACTGGGTTTTTGTGGTGTGTTTCACAACGTTGGCCCTTGTTGGCCTTTGTCTGCAGCTTGAGAATCCTTTGCAGGCAATGACTGCCTGAAGTCTGGAACCCTTGGACATCACCAAACTCTGGGTTTCCTCCTTTGTGATGCTTTGCCAGGCCTTTACTGCAGCTGTCTTCAGTTGTTGCCTGTTTGTGGGTCTTTCTACTTGAAGTTTTGTCTTACGCATGTGAAATGCATGCTTGATTGGGGTGAGATCTGGTGATTGACTCGTCCATTGCAGAATATTCCATTTATTTGCCTTAAAAAACTCCTGGGTTGCTTTCGCAGCATGTTTTTGGTCATTATCCATTTGTACTGTGAAGCGCCATCCAATCAACTTTGCTGCATTTGGCTGAATCTGAGCAGAAAGAATATCCCTTTACACCTGCTTCTGTCTTCTGTCACGCGCAGGTGCAGAACATACGTGCTAGTTGGCTGTTCGCTTTAGTGGTTATGGTGTCTTCTAGTGTCACTTTTTGGCCAATACACAGGCAATGTCAGGCAGTTGGCTTTTGTTGCTGCTAGTTCTTCAGCGTTGAGTTGGTGTGTCAAGGCAGCGCATGGTCGTGCACCTCCTAGGTTTTGAGATTTACATTTCAAGGACAAGTTCAAAGTTTAAAGAAGTTTATTTGTTTAATGGCTGCTACCAAACATAGCCTACATCCCATTACTTCAAGGACATGCCTTACCTGAAACAATGCTCTCCCTTCATTCTCCTCTGTAGTGAAACAAACTGGAGATATCACTTTGTAACACAGAGAGAGCTTATTAAATTGGTTAATTGGTTCTGCAGTGCAGTTTTTTTAATCCTTTAATTGTTTCTCCAAGTTTTGGCAATAAAAGCTGAGTCAGTCTCTATTGAGTGAAGCGTCAATCAATCATTGCAGTTTTCAGGGATGTAATGTCAGATACTGTTCTACACATTACAGTCCCAAACTGTGTACAAACATTAGTGAGTGAAACTTTCATTGACAACACTGACAGCTGCCAGCTTGGCCATGTAATAAGTTTACTTTTAACACCATCTGCTCTGACGTTAAGTCTAAAGGAAAGAGGGGCTTGTTACTCTTCATCACCAGATTGGTTTCTAAGCACCGCTAAAGGTCAGAGTTATAGGCAGCCCACCTTATAAGCCAGAGCGTAATACAGCTTGCAGGGGAAGGACAGTGTACTGTGTTAGCCAACAGGCATTCACATCTAATGGAACCTTTGTCCTTGGGGACATAATGGTTCAACAGAATGTAGAAAGGCTATCTCACTGTATTTTTGGTAATTAGCCCTCACACTACTTTGGTCCATTATATATACTGTCAATGATTAATACATTTTTTGGGCAATGGGAGACAACAAAACAAGCTGTAAACACTGACATATTATCACCTAATAACATTTATATTACTAAGATGTTAGCAAACAATTTATTTGTTGTTTCTGTTTTGTTTCTGGTCTGGCAAATGTTGGGATGGGGTTGGGATTTACTCTCCCCTTAGTTCTGTTTTGGTCAGCACCAACAACTGATTTAAAAAATATCTCAATCTTTGGCTGCTTCATACAGTTAGTTGCTAACTGTATCTGTCTGCTGTTTCACTGAAGACAAGGGTGTAAAAAAATATGAGTATTGTGATATGTAGTTTTGTAGTATTGTATTAATTCTCAAAAACACTGTATCAATTTCTCTGTGTCTTCCATTCAAGGCCTACTGTGCACAGCAGCGGCAGACAAGTGTTTATCATCTCCCTGCAACAATGGTGCCACATGTCTTGACCATCTGGGTGACTATGTGTGCCTGTGCCCCAAAGGACCGGTCTGGTACATGGGCAAAAACTGCGATGAGCTGTATGATGCCTGTGTCATGGCACCTTGCACCAACTGCACGAGCAAGCCTGGGACTGACGAGTTCACCTGCCACTGCCCGGACGGCTTCACAGGGCTCAACTGCACCCAGGATGTAGATGAATGCCAGAGCAACCCCTGCAAAGGCATCCTGTCCCATTGTGTCAATGGAGTCAATGGCTATTCCTGTCACTGCCCCCTTGGACTGGGAGGAGAGGACTGCCAGGATAATGTGACCATTTGTTCAGAGGGTACATGCCAGAATGATGGCACCTGTGTGGACATCCCTGACATTGGGTACCGGTGCCAGTGTGCTGCTGGGTACGAGGGGAGCAACTGTGAAGAGAACATAGATGAATGCCAATCTGAGCCTTGCCAGAACGGAGCCATCTGTAAAGATGGGGTTAACGCCTACCAGTGTTTCTGCGTGCCTGGATTTCAAGGCTATCACTGTGACTTGGACATCAACGAGTGTGCCTCCCGACCCTGTCAAAACAATGGCACATGCATGGATGAGGTGGATCACTACAGATGTGACTGCGCTCCAGGCTTCAAAGGTAAGACATTGTCAGGATTTTTAATATGAGAAGTTTATTTCATTTGATCAGAGATTCTTGGCAAATGAGTTGGCATTTGATATGAATACATTGGACCATTTTTAGTTTCAAGTATTCACTGATTCTTAGTGAATTCACAAACAACTCAAAACAGCAATCCAATTATGAGACACTAGCACTCATCACTTAAACACAAAGCTGGATTATCAAGAGGATAAGCGGGGGAACTGTCCTAGGGCCTCAGACCCTGAGGGGCTCCAAAGGCCACAGTTCAATATGTGGAAAGTTAGGATGTGGATAATTTGTTAATTTGATGGGATATGATAGTGTTGTAGAATAGGAGTTCTGGTTGGCCAAAACAGGTCGTAGTGTACCCCCTTTATGTGGGTTATGTGAAGGTCAGGATGGTGGATAAGTGCATCTGATTTGAGAGATGAGTGTTTTCGTTCTGTCACAGACCTGAATTGATGCAGGCTTTTTTATAAGCTGTTACCACAGTACTTGTTGCATTTAAGCTGCATAACTATAACCGCACCTTAGCCATACTTTATTTTCCATAACCATGATCTTTCCCTAATCTTAAGTCTCAGTGTAGTTCAGTTGCTCCCAACCTTTTTGACTTTCAACCCCAGCAAACAGAACTATCTTGAGTAGATAGTTTTTTATTGGACATTTAAAGAGAGCAAAATATGTAAAATTGTCCAATAATGCACAAGATGCCAGAAAAAGCCCTTCAGTCCTTGAACATAATTAATGGTTTCGCAGAATCCTTCAGAATCAATGTTTTTGTCTGGGGATAGATTTGGCCATGTGCTCTGTGTAACTCCAGAACTTGACAGTCCTCACGTTTCTGATGTTTACTTCAGTATCACAGCAATCTAGTGATAGTTGTCTGTACGTCCACTACAAACAGGACCTGCTAATAGCTAATTCAGACAAACTTTCAATGGTGTCAGTTTTCCAAAATGTAAACGTATAGGGCTAAAAAAACTATCCGAGGGGGGTCCCCCAAAGTGTCAGACTTTACATGCTTAATCTAGGCCTGCACAAAACCTGTTTTGATGTTCTTTTTGGTTCGTTTGGAGTAAAATACCATGTTGTTATCCAATATTTTGTCACAGCATGACCTTGACGTGACTTTACCTTTTATTGCCATTAATGATATGAAAAGAGGTTGCATGGCTCTGTTTAAGTAGCATTAGTCTGTGTTGCTGTTTTCCATTTGCAGCTGAGCTCCTGGCAGCTCAGTGTTATTGTGTTATATCTGTAGGTGTACTAAGATAATTAGGTGTGTTGCCAATCTCAGGCCTTGGCCCACTGCCATCCCCTCTCTGTCCCCTGCAGGGATTAACTGTGAGGTGGAGATCGATGAGTGCGAGGTGCTACCCTGCCAGAATAGCGCCACCTGCCGAGACCGCGTCGCCGGGTACACGTGTGAGTGCATGGCCGGCTTCCAGGGCCAAGACTGCGAGGTCAACATTGATGAATGTGCCAGCATGCCCTGTCTAAATAAGGGCAAGTGCATAGATGGGATCAACAGGTAGGTTTACACACATGCACACACTGTCTACACATATCCACACACGCAGTTTAAGTGTAGTTAGAAAGGTTTGTTTTTTTTAAATGCAATATAACCTGGATAAACAGTTACACACACTGATACATACAGTGTATTGTCTAAATGAGGTCTGATAAACAGAATATTCATATTTGAGTGACGTAACAAAATATCGATTTTTGCAGTGTGGTTGACACATTAAGCACCATTTTGCTGGGGTTTTTCCGGTTGAACAATGTTCTTTCATTCAAATGGTGTGAAACAGTGTGCAAATGGCTTTGAGGTATGTTTTCTCGCTTGTATTGGTGTGTCAGAGGTGTTACCGGATCAGCAGCGATGTGTATAAAACCTGCTGTGTTACAAAGGCAATGCGGGGTGCCCTGGGAGCTCACCTGGTAGAGCTGGCAAGATACTGAACCCCACATTGCTCCCGATGCTGTGCATCGGTGTGTGAATGTGTATGAACGTTAGTTTCTGTTCGATGGACTTTGCCATCACTGAGTGAATGTGTGTGAAAGGGTGAATGTGGCACGTAGTGTAAAAGCGCATTGAGTGGTCGGAAGACTAGAAAGGCGCTATACAAGTACAGGTCCATTTACCATTTACCATTTACCATGTAAGGTGGCCATGGGGACGACTCCGACCTGCGGCCCTTTGCTGCGCGTCATACTCATCATAAATCCACAGACTGAAATGAAATTGTGAGAAATATCCAGGTGTTCATATTCATATAAAACTGAACTTGTCAATGTTCATGTTGTTTTTTTAAAAAAAAAAATTCTATCACAGTTTTCTATCACTCCAAATTCCAAATTCAAACAGGAGAGTTCAGACCTTACTTCCGTTTGAGGATTTAGTAGGTTTGGTAGTGTAAAAAGTGTGTTGGTAGACCAATTAAGGATGCCCAATTGTGATGTATGTACGTATTTGTGATATCTTTTTTAAATACTCCTCCAGTTAAAAGTCAGGGTTTACTTTATAAATGAACAAAATTTGCATATTCAGAGATTCTGGATTTTTTAAAATAAAAACATATCCTACACACATTATTGTTCCAAGCAGACTATTTGTCTATGTCTTAATACATGTCTGGAGGGGATCTTTAATACCACGAGTATCACAATATCTTTAAGTGTTAGTGAAATGAACACTAACATGTTGTCTAATATGAATAATGTGAACTTCAAATACCCAATAATAATAAAGGTTACACATTGAGTTAGACTGGTGGTCATAAGAGATTATTTTCTTATCATATGTATAACCAATATACATAATTAGTGCAAATGTCTATATGAATGTCTGTATTTGTCTTTGCTTACATCAGGTTCAGCCCGGCAAGGCCGATGTGTCATGCAGCAGTGTGTTGGATCAGCTTGAGGCTGCATGGCAGACATTAAAGTTGACCAGGGATAACAATTAATCCACTTATCAGTTGTTGCAATGAGTCATTAGATGTCTGGAGGTGGTGAGAATACCCGGTGGTAACACTGATTGGAACAGCAGGGAGTGAGGAAGATGAAGGATGTTATCATACACATAATGCTCAGGGACATGACAGCTGATTTGTTTAAAATCCCTTTAAATATGTTTTGTTTTTAAATCTGAACATCTTTGAATACAATTTATAAAATGATTTAATAAAATGAATCATGCAAATTATTTTTAATAATTTTTTTTGGCTCACTGATTTGATATTTTTTTTGGAGGTAGCATAAAAAGGAACTCTGTCTAAATTTGTACAAAAGTACCCTTGAATATTCAGTCTATGTATCTTTTGAAAGAAGAAATTGCACATTGCTCCTCTTACAAGTGACAGACAAGGTGAATTCATAAGAAATAGTCAACCATAGTCATAGTGGTCAAATACTGCTATTTGGTCAGTGGCCCTCCACTTTAAAATTTGACGCTAGGTGTCTTTCTAGCATCATTTTTGGACACGCCATCAAATAACGTATTTAGGTCAGTTATGGTTTGTTTTATTCATGTTCTTAAGTTACATCAGATAACTTACGATCTTTTGTCGTTTCTGAGCCTAATCAAACTGTAAGCATTTCACAGTGTTAAGCTTTATATTGTATCCTGTTTGTCTTTATTTTCCACTAGACAACATAACCATTGATTTATTCAATTAATAAATAAATAAATAAATAAATAATTATTTCCTAATAATCTTTTGCACAAACCACTGCTTTTTCAAAGATGAATCACACAAAAAAATCTAGATATAATTATTCACCTTATCTCATTGACAATTGCATTATAAGCAGTAAGTAAGAGAAAGAGTATAAGCTTATTTATGTCTGTGCTCTTTTCTAGCTATGAGTGTGACTGTGAGGGGACGGGCTTTGTAGGTGACCACTGTGAAGAGGACATTCCTGAATGTGCTTCTGACCCCTGCCAGCATGGAGCCACTTGTTTGGAGGGCATCAACCAGTACAAGTGCATCTGCTGGCCAGGTACCATTACTCTACACAAACTCTCTAACACTGCAGCAGTCACACATTAACCCACTGCTCAGTATAGGTTATGACAATTTGTTATATTGCTATTACAATTGCTTTAATATTGTCACTAAACTGAAGTCATGAAAGAAAATGCATGTTATAATGTTGAAAATTAAAAAAATAAAAGCAAGAACACATAAAAAGCGTCCTCAGGCTGGAGGTTTCCCACACATAAATCAAACCAAACAAAGGATGATCTGACCCTTGAGTTCAGAGGACAAGAGCAGGCTGAAGAGCAGGGCTGTGCAGAGCTGCATAAACACAGAAGTGTGGCACTATTTCAATCTTTCAGGGCTGTGATGAATTATGATGAGTGATGCATGAGCACATTGCGACAGAGAAAGATGCAGACATCAGCAGTCTTCATGTGATTTTTGCTGTCATAACTGTGTTTGTGAGTGTGTGTTGTTGTTGTGTGCATATCCTAAGAGTACCTTATGGAGATTTCACTGTTAGATTTAAAATACTTAAACTATTTATCCATCTAGATTCTTTTGGTGTGTGTTGATGAGTTTTGGAGATTGTGATGCTCAAAATGAAAAAACATAACAGCAAGGTCTCTTTCTAGCCATCATGACCCGATTACTCAATCATAATCCACAGGATAGGTTCCAGATTTCGTATGTGAAGTATGTCTTAATACAATGCTTACATATCCATGTATTGTATACTATTTGCCACTGTAATTATTCCTCCGCCTGTTCATACTGGCTATAATGCTATCAGTGACAGTGTTTCCTCTATGTTGATTTTGGAGCGGCGGCCCACCACTGTTAAATTTCTGCCGCCACGGTATCAGAAATGGGGCAGACGCACAATGTTCGGACAGGCCTGCCCCCACTGCTAAAAAAAAATCCTAGAGGAAACACTGAGTTACAATATGGACTTAAAGGTCCAGTGTGTAACATTTAGGAGGATCTATTGGGCACTTTGTAAAGAGAGAGTTGCAATCTGTGACTACAATGCTAGATGCCACTAAATCATACACAGTGGACCTTTAACTAACTACTACCTTAAACATTATCATTTATGTTTGAACTGCATCGAAATCTACTTTCAAAATCCTATTATGAAGGCTATTATAGACTATGGATGGATGCATAAATGTAGCTAGTTTTGTCACAAGACTCTTTTTAGCAAACGTTGCTAAAGGTGTCTTAAAACTAAAACTAGTATGGACATTTTCAAGTTGGAGCAAAAATGCTTTTAACTTTAGCAAATATTGCTTCATCAGTCTGAGTTAGTCAAATGAAGTTGGCCTCATCCAAGTTACAGTCTGTTTGCTATTAAATTTCCTCTTTGTGCAGCATTGGGATATGTCCTGGTGGTCGGATGCAAATATGTTGACAGAACCGGCTTATTTGGACAAAATTTGACAGCTGAGGTGGTTATGCTTATGTTCCACACAAATGGAGCAGTATAGACAACATGCACTGTATGTGTGGAATGTGTTGGTGTATATGTGTCGAAGTTAGGACATTTCACAGCCAGTATGGACAAAATATATCATTACAGTGACCAAAAACCCTTTTAACTTACGTATGCGCATGTGAGTATTGTATTAAAACAGAAACATCCAACACTATCCATCCAAACATGTATTCATGTTTATCTGTGTGTACAGGTTATGAGGGAGTGAACTGTGAGGTGGATATAGATGAGTGTGAGCAGCATCCCTGTGAGAATGGCGGTGAGTGTTTCCAGCGCTCTCATATCCTGAACTATGGGACGGTGCCTGAACTCAGCAAAGCCAATTTCACCTATTCGGAGGCAGCTGGCTTCATCTGCAACTGTCTGCCAGGATTCATTGGTAAACCACAACAATACCCCTTCAGTTTCTTGGTATTTTGCCTCACAAACTCACCATGAAGTGATGAGGACGTAGATATGGATCTTACGAATGTGTTCCCTTTGCAGGAGACAACTGCTCAGTCAATGTGGACGAGTGTGAGTCTGCTCCATGTCAGCATGGAGGAAGCTGTCACGATCTGGTCAACTCTTATCAGTGCATGTGTCCAGATGGATTCACAGGTAGGAGCAACCTCTCATCTGCTCTATCTCTTAACAAAACAAAATTGAGCTCCTCCAGAGGCCCCCCGCAGGGTTGTATCCCATCCTTATCGCTGTTCATCCTCACTGGCTCCAAGTCAGTACAAGCACTTTCTGAAATTCACATGACAGCATGTGCTTGTGGTCAGTGAGCCTGGCTTGCACAGCTGTGATGCTGACTTACTGAGGCGGAACATTACTACAATTAACACGGTGGTTGAGTTCAGCCAAACACAACTTGCACTTTCCTAGAATGTTAAAGGAGAGTTTATTTTTGATACAAACTCTCAAAGAACTGAACATTATTAGACACCTATACAGTAGGAAAATAAGAAATAACCACCTATTCAAATAGGTCCACAGAAAAATTGCCAAAACTGGCTTTAGTGCCTCTGTGCATATAAACACTACTATTAGATCACATCCTATATAAAAAGTTGACCAGAAATCTTCAAGGACTTCTGAATGATTTTAATTAGAATTTCTTTTTAAATATGCATCTGTTATTATTGTCAAATTCCAAATTTGTCATGTGTTGCAATACTAAATACTGGATACTGAATACTCATAGTAAGACTTGAAAGCCATCTTTCATTGTTATGTTTTGCATTGCCTCAGTGAAAAAAGAACTTCCCTGTGGGGGACAAGAAAGATCTGAAGCGAACTGGACTGAATGTCCCCAGTTGAAGCCAGTGTTTAGACAGATAACCTTTTATGCCAGGTCTCAGAATCTCCACTTCGGCCAAACAATAAAGGGTTAATCTTCCTCCTGCTGACCACTCCTTGTGGCTGGCCAACGTATTAATTCCTCATTAACAGAGATTTGTCACTGCATCACTCAAAACAAGAGGAACTGCACAGAAAGCTGACCTTGAAACACACAATCTGGACTTAGAACTGAGGAATTCAGCCAAAAGCTCATCAACAAAATAAGAGGCTAATTTGCTAACAGAGTTTAGCCACGCAATGTGGAGGCCACAGCAGAGCAGAGGGTAGGAGGGGATGAGAGGGGATATGGAGGAGCATAGCAGAAGACAACAAAGCCAATAAAAGGTGCCATATGTCAGACGTCCACCTTGGGCATTAAATGGGGGTCTCCTAAGAAATTTGTCAGGGGGGAGGATGAGATTATGGCAAAGCTGCTTAGGAGCCTAATTAAAGCCTGATGAAAAAAAAAACATGAGCGGAAATGAGCAAAACAAGATGCTTTTCCAAAATAATCGGCTCTTTATTCTTCTGCTATGTTACACTGTAAACACATGCTCTTGTGCAACAAGAAGAGATAGAAGGATAGAGAAAAACTATGTGGCTAAAAAATATTATCCTATTAACTTAAGGTGACTACATGTCAACTATAGAGGCCACTATAACTGACTGTTAGGCCAGTAGAGGTGAACCTCTCTTGTGCCCTCCTCATTTCACATTTAACTCCATGATTATGGAGTTTAGATTTTTAGGTTTGATTGGGTTTTTTAAAGGCTTTTGGATTCAAAATATCTGGGTTAGGTTTAGGAGTAGGGTTTACTCATCACATCATCAACAACAGGTGCATGCTTTAGTTACAGAACACGTGACAAAATTATTCACATACCATATGTCCAGATATCCTGGCTCTCTTTTTCATTCCAAAGTATTAGCCCCATAATTGCTGATGCAGTTAGTGGTTTATCTCAGAATTATATGTGTAAATGTTCTTTTGAAGGCTTAGGTGAATAATGTGAGGGAATACTGTAAGTATTATTATGGAAGAAGATTGATGTCTGAGATGTAAGTACAGGCAGAATTAAAGAATAGATTTAGTGAATTGTTTGACTGAACAAATTCTCAATTTAAATGAATAAACTTTTATTTTTTGCTGAAAAAATGTCTACGCAGATCCTGCAGCGTCCCGTTCACCATTTTTTCCACCATGGGGAGAAGTCATGACTGGCCCTAATCTGACCCTGATTGGTTTACCTGATATTCTTACCATAACACTAACCCGTCTCACTCCTCATGCCTAAACTAAAGCAACCCAAATCAACGAGGCAACCACTACTAACCAATCAGAGTCAGAATAGGGCGGGTCATGTGCCCAGTGCTGCCACTGAGCGGCAAAGAAGAATGGATTTTTGGTAGTGTAACGTTAGCCAGAGCTAGCTAAATGTCAGCAATGGAACTCACTGCCAAACTAAATAATAAAAGGAAGTTCTATGGAATTAATTATCTGTATCTACTACTATCTATATTTGTTCCTGTTTAATCTGAGCCAGGCAACACATATAGCATTCATACAGGGTTACAGTACAATATACAGCTAAAAAAAAAAAAAAAAAAAAAAAAAAGTTGGTATTAGATCATCCCTAATTCAAACGTAACATTTCAATGAATTGTCATTCATGAGATTCTGAGACTTTAATGTCACTATCTCTGAAATTCAAAAAAATGTGATTGTTATTATATAAAATAGGTAGAATAAACTGTCCCTAAGGGGAAATTTGTCTTGGGTACACTACTACAATGAGTTGCTTTATTCACAATTATTCTGATACTTAATCTAATACCTAAACTGAAATTACTTTAGTAATCTGAATTACCTTTGCAATTTAGAATTTAATTCTAAAAAGAAACAAACAAAAAGTAGTTGCTAAAATCATAGTTCTGAGGCTGTCAGAAGACTGACTTTCATCTTAGACTTTCCAACTTTCATCTCACAGATTATTTGCAATAAAATTCATTATAATCCTTGACTGTGTAAACCATTGTTTGTTGTAAACCACATGTAATTTCAAGATTAATTTCAGAGCTGAGTAATACCAGAGCATACTGTAACAATACATATAAATAATAATAAATCTAAAGTAATATAATCAGACACAGTTCTGGTGGATGAAACTGACTAGCTGATATGCAAACTTAAATAAAAGATCAATATGGGCTCCATGTTTCAGTCCAGCTGTTCTCAGGCCTGGCCCACCTGAAGCCTTGAACCTGTAGCACCTCCTGCAGTCTCATTCTAGCAGCTCCCACCGCTTGTGGGCATCCACAGGCCAGCACATGGAGCAGGGAGGGGACTGCAGCACTGCATTCATCTCGTCAAACACTGACAGGAGCCAGCTGGAGGCTGGAGGCTTACCACTCTGCTAGGGCTGGGCTGCAGACGGGAGAGGAGCAAGGGGTGTGAGGGAGGGATTCTGGGAGGGATGGAGGAGGGAGAAAGAGAGGGAGGAAAAGAAAAGGTGGGCAGGGCTGCCTAGTAATCACTCCTGCCTGGTACACAGTGGAGGAGTGGAAGCACTTCTGCTTTGTAAGCTAAAGAGAGAGAGAGAGAGAGAGAGAGAGAGAGAGAGAGAGAGAGAGAGAGAGAGAGAGAGAGAGAGAGAGAGAGAGAGAGAGAGAGAGAGAGAGAGAGAGAGAGGGAGGGAGAGAGGGACCTGGTTGTGTCACTTCTGTCATCCGACAGTGTGAGGAGTGTGTTGGCTGTTGACTCAGTGGATCATGGGGGGAAGCACGTTGATGCTGCTGCTGCTGCTGTGCTGCTGCTGTGGGCCCTTGTGGCTGACAGGTACAGTATGGCACAGCACTTTAATGCTACATTAACAAAGACGAAAAGTTACATGCTTGTGTGTGAGGGTGGAGTCTTGGCACAGAGAGAACGAACAGCTTTAGGGTTCCTTGGGTGTAGAGTATTTTAAAGGACTATGTTAATGCAAGTTGACTGCTTCTGCCAGGGCTTAATGTTGAATGCGGTTTGATGAAGTGGCTTTGACTGCTGAAACCAGGCAGACTCACTGTAATTCTGGCACAGGGTGTGTGTGTGGCACAAGCTGACAAGCATATAGTGCAATATTTCAATGTCTATCTGATGTAATTGGTATGACAGACACTTGTTTAATTGTGTGCAAATCTAATTCAGCTCTTATTGTGCATTCAGTGGCTATTTCCTCCAGTAATTTCCTTATCTGCAAATGACACTGACAGAAATAATTACGCCTTGCCTCAACCAAACCTGCCTGTTCATCTCTATGCATGCATGCTTGTAGCTTTGTATCTAATTAAGTCATTTGTTTTGCCAGGAGCTCAATGCAGTCTCCTTGTAAATTATTAGTTTTAAATATAACTTCCATTGTGATCCATGTGAAGGAGGCTGCTAAGAAGGAATTGAATCAGTGGGTTGTAGTACTAAACGTGAGTGTCTCTCTATACAGGTGTACACTGTGAGGTGGACATTAACGAGTGCGACAGCAATCCCTGCCAGAATGGTGCCATGTGCAAAGACGCTGCCAACTCTTATTGGTGTGACTGCCCCGTGTCGGAGCCCGGCCAGGAGCCCTGGGGTGGGCGAGACTGTGACGTCCTTCTGGTGGGCTGCCAACAGCACCAGTGTCAACACGGAGCAGGTTGCGTCCCCATGCTGACCGACGATGGAGAGCACAGCTATACCTGCCTGTGTCCGTCTGGCTGGACTGGAGAACTCTGCAACACCTCCACCACCTTCTCCTTCAACTCCGAGGGCTACGTCCACATGCAGCTGCCTGTTTCTGAAAACAGGACGAAGCGAGAGACTAAAGACCACAATCATGGGCTCCACATGCAGCTCAGATTTAAGAGCACTTTGCCCGACATGGTGCTGTACTACCGGGGCACCTTGGAGCGCTTTGTCTCTCTGGAGCTTGTCGGAGGCTCCCTCCAGGCCAGGGTGAAGTCAGGGAAGGTCCTGCAGGTCATTTACCCTGGCCTAGTCAATGACGGAGAATGGCACCAGGTCACTGTAACTATGGATGAGAGGCTGGTCCTGGTTGTAAAAGGCCCTGGCTGTGAGGAAGAATGCCAGGTCAAGAATGAGGCTTACAACCATCTGATCTTCGTCCAGCCCAGCTCCTTTCATCAGCTTTATGTCGGAGGGGCACCGCAGGAATATTTAGCCCATACGTCCAGTGGAAGGGGGTTCATTGGCTGCATGGAAGACCTTCAAGTGGACAATAAATTGCTTCTGCCTCAGGACCTAATCAGAGAGGAGAACCAGGGCTTGGAAATGGGATGCAGCAAAAGAAACTGGTGTCAGGAAGACCCATGCATGCAACGTGGGCAATGTGTAGACATGTGGGTTCGTGCCAGCTGTATGTGTCATCGGCCCTACTATGGAGAAAGTTGTGAGAAAGGTGAGAGTACTTATAGTTTGCAGGAATACCCTCTACTTTTACAGCAAAAACACTAGCCACTGGATAGATTACTATGTGGTTACTGACCAGGGCTTCTCAACGTGGGGGTCTGCAAAACTATGTGTAGGAGAAACTGTTGTAATGCTTTTTTAGGTCGGATTCTTAACTTGCACATTTTGCATCCCACCTAAAGCGATAGTCCTGTTTGTTGGTGAGGGTAACACACAAACAATGCATGAATGAAATCTGAACTCCCTCCTAATTAGCACTCAGCAAACACATGGTCCAGACAAAGCTGGATGAATCAAAGTCTGAGTTTCTTTACCTTCTCCACTTTGTAGTAGGGTTAGCTCTTACTGCTGTTTGGGGCTGATATCATGCAAAAGTACAAGTAAAAATAAAAACGTATCTTTATTGGGTTGACAGTACACAACATACATGAAAAGTATGACATGTCACCCAGTTTTACTGCTTCCTGGTAAATTGTTCCTGTTGTCCCATTCCCAGGGCGTTAGATAGCAACATTTTGTCACAACCTTTTGACGTCTCACACAGATGCACAAGATACCCTTCAGCACAGGGGTCACTTCAGTCTTATGAGAAAGCAAAATATTCTGAAAATATTTTCATTACTAACATTTTACTTACAAAAACAGCAGTTTTATACATTTTAATATAATCTTTGTTGTTTGCAGCTAAACAACAAAGACCTGAAACCCTCTCTCTTCTTATCAGTCATTTGCATGCAGTTTGCTTTAGCCTCTATATGAGAAGTACTTGGCTTTCATCGAACTCCAATCTGTCAGGTGATGTAGGGTCAAGAGTGACAAAGTCCATGTAAGGAAGTATTTGGAATGGATGGATGGGTCAAATAAACACAGGACTTTCACTCAGGAGACTGGCGTTCATGTCCTGTGTGAAACCAAAAGTCAATGTTCACATTTTTAGTTAAATGATGTAACATTTGTGACTCATGTCGCCGCAGCAATGACAACGTGTGTCAGGGTAAGGTGGCCAGGACTCAGGCGCAGACAGGAGTGAGGTTTCAAAATAAAGAGATTTATTAGAAAGGCAAAAACAAAAGGTTAGGCGGCTGGGGTTCTGAGGTGACCGAGAGTGGGAATGGGTTCCGGGCACCAGAGCTCTGGGTGTTGAAGTGCTGGCAGGTGGAAATGGATCTGGATCAGGGTGTGATGGTCTGAGACGTGACGGGAAAAAAAAGACAACAAGTTAGTAAACGCTATTTCAAAGTTGAGAAAGTTCAGGTTTGCTGGCGTGTTCTCGTACTACGTGGTTCAACGATCCGGCAGGGACTGGAAGGTCGGCCTGGTTTATATAGGGTGGTTTGATAATAGATGAGGACCTGGTGTGCTGATTGGTATGATGATCCTCAGGTGTGTCAGCAGGGGTTCCCGCGACCACGCCCACCAGCAGCTTTCAGACATGTGGGGAAAGCAAAACACAGACAAACACCAAACCAAAACACACCAAGCACACAGCAGGCACACCAAAGGGAAGAAAAGAATGCAAAAACTACATTCACACACATACCAAGAAGGAAGCCAGGGTCATGGCCGGTGGGCCGTGACAACGTGACTTGCATCATTACTTATTTTTACCTAAATCATAATATTTCCATAATCTAAACAAGTCATCTTGTTGCCTAAACCTAACCAGATTGCAGCCGTTTCGCAAACGTTAACCACATGTCAAAAAAGTGTCTCATACATGCCAACATGATGCCAAGAGTTGTGACAAAGTGGGGTTGGTATTTGACGACCTGGCATGAGAATGTGTTGTAAATGCATTTCTTTAAACATTTCTGTGAAAAAACCAAAATGATTGCTGATAGGTGTAGCATAAGCCAGTGTGTTGGGGTAAGATACTGACAACTTTTTGCTTCCCACTTCCACCTCAGAGTACCCATCTTGGACCTTTGGTCATGAGAACACCACCAGCTACGCCACCTTCAACATCTCAGAAACCCATGGAGACAACTTCACCATCTCCTTTTCAATGCGCTCACTCAAACACAATGGTCTGCTTCTGCAGCTCCGTCGAGAAGAAAAGAGTTACCTGACAATCTATCTGAAGGAGGGCACTGTTGCTATTTACAGCCCTCACACCACCCTTCTCTCAGAGGCCAAGTTTGTCACTGATGGCAACAATAATTTGGTGACCGTAAAGGTACACTATGGTCACGTGGTCTTCCCCAAAGCAGGGAATCACCGCGCCTTAGGGAACGTAAGTGTAGAGGCAGGGGATGTGGCGTATGTCGGAGGGCTCCCTACAGGCAAGAGCATGAACGCTTGGGGTGGAAACTTCAAGGGCTGCCTGCAGGACATCCGGCTGGACCACAAGCATCTGACCACTGAGGATCATCCAGAGGGGGTTGAGGTTTACCAGGCAAGCGCAGAGGAGAATGTGCTGCCAGGATGCCAAAGTGATGACACATGCAAGGTAAGAGAAAAATTTATAGAATAGACAAAAAATAGACGTAACCAGATGAGACAGCCCATCCAATAATTATGAGAAATTTCAGTTTGTACTGAAGCATCGAACTGATACAATTACCAACATTATGTAATTAAGCAGACTGCATGACACCCAACAGATGAGATATTGACAAAACTTAAATGAAAAACCCCAGATAAACACTATTATGTTTTGCCAGTGTGTGGCTCTAACACTGAAGCCATGCTAATTGTGTTAACGCCTTGTAGAGCTGTCTGATAGCTGGGCTGTGCTGTATTGCCACCACCCTATTAACACTGATCTGGTTGTGAATCCCTCTGATCTGTAAGTTACCGCTCAATCCTCTCTATAGCTTTTACCTTTGCGGTCGCATCAGGTGACAGATTTTACAAGCGATAATCTAATCCACCAATCTGTGTTTGTCTGTGCACAGGATGAGCCCTGTTTCAATGGTGGACAGTGTCAGGTCACCTGGAATGACTTCAAGTGCAACTGCTCCATTACCTACTCAGGGCGGCTGTGCGAGACGCGTTTGTGGTGCGTCGACAACCCTTGTTTTGACGGAGTCCACTGTGTGGACCTGCAGGATGGTTATGAGTGTGAGTAATCCCTTGGCAGCGATTGTGACTCCGTCTATCAAGGCAGGGCAAGTCAAGCCAGGCAAGGTCAAGTTTATTTGTTTAGCTCTTAATTTCTTAATTTGACTTATAGTCCTGAAAGGGCCATGTAACATTAGATGGTAAGGACAACCTGCCAAACTTAGACCCTCACTGACACAAAAAAAACAAATTCATCAGTCTGACTGCAAGAAGAATACTATATATACACAACATACTGAAATACAAGGAAGATATGGTTTATGGTTGATGCTTTTTCCAAGTAGCAGAAATGAAATGGAAGCAACTGAGACACATGGGGAATGTGATACTGACACACACAACACAATACATAAAACACATGCTACCAGTCACTTTGCCTCTTTCATTTGATTTTATGTCCAAAAATCAGTTACCTTGCTTATTCCAGTAGTCCTGATTTGTGTTGGGCTAGTTACTCAAAATTCTTTATATATTATTTATTACTCTTTTTAAAAGTAATATAATTATTTTAATTATTACTCTTTGCCAACAGTCATTAGTTACACTACCAGTTATATTACTTTTCTGATACTCCCCACAAAATTGGTAATTGGGTCCATTCTCCCCATAATTCAGACTAGTTTCCTCCACGATTACAAAAATGAATCTATGGATGTGATTGACTTGTTGGAACAAAAGATATATTATTATTATTTAAGTATATTTAAGAGTTAGTAGTTTAGTTTAATTAGTAGTAATTAGTTACTAATGACTGGGAAAAGTAATATTATTACTGTAATATCATTACTAGTAATGAGTTACTGCCCAACACGGGTCTTGATCATCATGCATTTGCTCATCTTTTGATTTTTAGGTGTGACTGCAGTAGGATTTGAACTCCTGGCAGTGTTAGTAGTAGATTTTATGTGATTTTCATGTGTAACATATGAAAACTACCAAACTCACACAGGAAGACCATTGCTTAGCCCCCAGACAAACAACTAATTTATGTTTTTATGTTTTATTTTACTGAAGTAACGGCACCTTCACAGTGAACTGTCAACATGTCTGGTTTAGGCCCAAAAGCAAAATAATAGAAATAACAAAACACATTTTCATATTACTGAGGTAACTGGGCCTGTAACAACAAACAGAGTATATAGTATAGAGTGTTTCTGAGTTTTTGTCCCTAGTCTTGAAGAGCACAGTTCATGCTAACCATGACTTACCTGTGTATAAAATAGGTGGACTGGCCTTTTAATTGTGATACCATGGTGTAATTACTGTAAACAAAAGGTATGGCCAAGATGACTGGTAGGCATATATCATATCATATATCCCATTCCTTGTGTTGTCAGTGTCAGAAAAATAAGGAAAAAACACAGCTGTGAATGAATGCCACTTGTTCCCGCTGCATTGGGTGTGGCAATCCAGATGTGAGTGTATTGTTAATATTCTGATAACATAGTTTGTCTTTGATTAATGTATTACCAGCTATGACAAATCTTTTTCACACTATTTAGAGAACCTCTGGACTGAGTCTGCAAAATAAACTGCAATAAAATTGGTACTATAACTACTTTATTATGTAATTCAAATATTACTACTGATACCATATGAGAAAAAGTCAATGGGGATTAGCTACAACAATGGACTCAGTTTAAGCAGTTTTAGTTTGATTTGAAGGATTTTATGAAATTTATTAAATTGCACAAAGCAACTAGTGTGAGTCCATTAACAATGATTGAACACAAAAGAACCGTACACCAAGGAGTACTTCAGAACCTTTTTGCCAAGAGAAAGTATTGCTTCCAGGGACAGTTCACTGTTAACATCTAAAACTACTACACCCTTCTCTAACAATAATCATACCAATAAGGGTATGGAATTAAAATGGTTTATTGCATATTATGGATGAAGGTGAGCCAGGATGATATAGTGTAGGGAGATAAGGGATGGAGGGATGGGGGTGAGGGTTGAGGGATGAAGGATGAGGGGAGAAAAGATGGTCGTGGACGGATGGATGGTGGAGTTTGTAGAAGCACCGGTGTCAGCTGGTGGCGGGAGGACAGGAGAGAAGCTGGAGGAAATCCAGACTGAGTGGGGGAGGTGTCTCTTCCTTAGCTTTAATTAGATCAGAGACCAAGTGGTCTCTGGATAAGGTTAAGGTGAGCTGAAGTACTTTTTGTGTGGAAGTGAGATGAATTCAAGGCGTGGTGTTTGTTCCTGAACCTAGTTATAAAACTTAATTTAGTTGTGAATCAGCATTTTAGCACAAAATTCTTTCTTTCAGTAACTTTTCAAAACTGATCTTCTGTTCCCACAGGTTTAACTGAAGCCATTTTTCAGGACAACGCTCTCCAGTATGTTGCCAACAACTCCCTGCCGAGCCCCATAACCAACATCACCATGGACATACGGACACGGGACATGAACGGAATCTTGTTGCGGGCCGCCAGCAGAGCTGAGGTCTTCTGCCTGGGTCTGCTCAACTCCTCCCTGCTGGTCAAACTGGACAGCGGCGTGAGTGCCGAGCTGCTGGCCTTCACTAGCGACAGAGTCATCGCGGATGGAGCGTGGCATCAAATCCAGCTGACCATGGTCGATCCCACGCAGTTGGCATCCCGCTGGCGCCTCACTGTCGATGGGCAAAGAGTCGGTGGCAGCTTCGGCGTTGGTGGCAACCTAAACTTCCTCAATGACACCAAAATCTGGCTGGCTGAGAAATACACTGGATGTTTAGGGGATGTGAGAGTGGGTGGAGTCTACCTGCCGCTCATAAATGTACCGGACGCCCCTCAGATGAGTCGGTTCTCCAGACTTGGCGGGCACGAGCCAATCATAGGATGCCAAGGTGCACCAATTTGCGATTCCCAGCCCTGCCTCAACCAGGGTGTATGCCAGGACCAGTTTAATGAGTTTAACTGCAGCTGCAGTGCAGGATGGGAGGGGGAACTGTGTGAGAAGGAGATAAATGAGTGTTCTTCAGGTCCCTGTGTCTATGGTACATGTAAAGACCTTCTGGCAGACTACAAGTGTGACTGTGAGCCTGGATACACAGGGAAAGACTGTCAGGATGAGGTGGATGACTGTCTGGAGTTCAGCTGTGTGAATGGAGGAACCTGCATGGAAACGGTGGGATGTTTATGTCCTCCTGGATACATCGGCAAGCGCTGCCAGTGAGTACAGACTTTACTGTTTCTCTACAGCACATGTTAGGCTCACATTCTGAAGAATTACCACGACTGACCTGATCAGGCTGCAGTGCTATGATATAGTTGTAAGAAAAGAAACTTTTATTTTATTTGTGTAGATATCAAACTTTGGCACAGTTCCATATCCCTGCACACAGCTGTTGTGTTCACTGTTGCTTGTTTATATATACATGTTTAGTTAAATATGTCCATACATTTTTTGGGGTGGACCTGACTCCCATCCACTGCAGTGATTAAATACCAGGTTTTGCTCAATATGAGATCTTCTACAATTGATTTTATTTCCACTTGGGGGCAGTGGAGCTAGCTAACGGTGTAAAATCAACATCGTATCACCTTATAAAGTTGATCTGGCAAACGTGTCTATTGCCTGTTCACACATTCAGCCTCCATTTCGTGCTGTTTTGATCTCCAACAACTTGTGAGAAAAGACTCTTTAGCTGCTAATTGTTGTTCACCAGCTAGTCACTAACACTGTGTCTGCTGTTTGATAGTGTGCAGTGAGTCTAAGCAAGCGTGAGCCCATCGTGACGTCACCCATTGGTTTGTGAAGTACCGTTTGACAATGACGTACTGTGAGTTGGGCTGCGCTCATTGGCTGCGCAGTTCCAACTCTTCTGTAGCAGGAAACAATGGTGGCTCACCTGGTCACATGTTCTTATATTCCAGATAGACAGTACAATAAAATATGTTAGTGAAAATATTTGAGGAGAGAAAAGTAAAGTAACCTAATCGTAATTCATATTTGATCATTTTTAAGATAACAATTATTTACCCACAGTTAAGGTATCCAGCTTTATGAACTAAATTGTAATTATTGCTAGCTTCGTGCCATTCACATTTGTACTTTACTTTTCTTTACATTACTACTACTGAAATAATACCATAGCAGCACAATTGTATCTTCACACAAAAGTTTCCATTACATTAAAAAGCATATGTTGTGTTGTGTCAAATCTCGCCCACTACAGCTTAAATCATTACCGTATAACTATTAATTGTGCAGATCTTGTCTCACATGAAATGCTTTTGGGTCGTAATTAAAGGTCACCTGATAGTATAAAATAATACATTAGTGAGTAAGATCAAGGTGTTATTTTTCATTACAACAAAAGGTTGCACAGCGAAATGTAGATCCTTCATGCTACACATAGAACATACGTGATAATTTAATTTAGATTACAATAGGATAAAATATAAAATAAATAAGTAAGTAATAAAAAACATATTATTATATATTATTTATGATATATACATGTATACACCCTGAAAATAGTTTTGTAGTGCATCTTTTTGAATTTGCAGGGAATATAATGAGTATGTTTGTGGTTCCAATAGGTGGCGTTTCCCTCCAGTGGCGTGCGATGCAAACGCAGAGTGTCTAAATGGAGGGGTTTGTATAGGAGGAGACTCTGGAGGTAACTGCACCTGCAAGCCAGGATACACTGGAGCTAGGTGAGAGCAGCACACTGCACATTCCTCACGACACACCTGTTGCTCAGGAGGAAGTGTAAAGGCCATGAATGTGTAAGCTGCCGCTGTCTGTCCGCGTTCTGTGAAAACCCTGCTGATGTGTTTCAGGTGTGAGGCAGAGATAGACGAGTGTGAGTCCAGCCCTTGTCTCAACGGTGCCACCTGCCTGGACAGGCTCAACCACTTCCAGTGTGAGTGTGTGCCGGGCTTCAGTGGCACGCTGTGTGAGAGCAACGTAAGTGACAGACTGACACTGACTTTGGGTTAATTCACTTTCACAGCACATGTGCTAAATTAGAACCTACTCTTTAGCTTCCACAGAAGTAATTATGTAGAAATAGGTAACAACACAGACATACATGAAAAAGTATGAGTTACTGTAAAACAGCAAAATAGCATTACTATATGTTCCTCCCATAAAGTAGTGTACTCCTCTCCAAATTTATAACATTTCAGGATATCTAAAATAAATTTAATTTTTCTAAATTTTTCCAACATTTAAATGAAATAATGGTTTTAATTATACCAGATTGTAGGGGGTGCTACAGGCCCCTACGTATCCCTACTTCCAGCACCCTTGATTGGCACCCTCTTAAATATGTATATGTGTAAAAAAACCTGTAAGTTCTTTTGGGTTAACTTGACTAATGCATACTGAACGGGAGTAGAAATTTGTACATTTTCAGTGTTATTTATTTTTCGTTTGACTTTTATTTATTCCAATAAACAGACCCCTTAAGGGGGACACCTGCTTTGTCTTTTTAGCTCTTAAGTTGATCAGGAGGACCAGTCCAATTGACTGTTTGACCTATGACCTTTTTGAGAGGTCCTGCAGAGCATCTGGACTAAAATCCATGTGCAACTGCAGACTTGAATGATCGTTGTAAGAATGCTGTGTTAATGACTTTTATACCTGCAGACATAATGTTTCAATACAAAATGAGTTTGGTTGTTAATAAATAGATTTTTGTCCAGATTCTCTGCAGACAAGGCAACTGGAGGAACACAAGTCAAAAGCCTTTTTCCCAACCTGGCAAATCAAATAGTTGCTTATAATGGATCTATACAACATGAACAAATTGTTGATTAACCATCATTAGTGACAAATAATAAACATGTTCTACTGAGTGGCACATTAAAAAGATGTGGTCATGTACACCTAACATTCCGTCCTGTCCTCTGGCAGAAAGAGCAGCATAGGGAGCGGATCCCCTGGCTGGCAGTAACCATTCCCCTCACCACCCTGTGTGTGTTGCTGGCCATCCTGGTGGTGTTTTTCCTCATCATGACAGCGCGGAAGAAGCGTCAGTCAGAGGGCACGTACAGCCCCAGCTCTCAGGAGGTGGCCGGTGCCAGGCTGGAGATGGGCAGTGTCCTTAAAGTGCCTCCAGAGGAGAGGCTGATCTGAGGCCTGTAGCCCTGCCTCACAGCCTCACATCCAGTGGATGTATTGATATGTGAAGGGCCTGGAGAACATGTGCTCTGCTGTGTGGATGATAAACCAATAACTGATCCTCTATCAAGGGAAACTACTGAAGCCTCAGAGATGGGTACAGACAGACAGGTAGGCTGGGAAACAGACTGAGGCTGTTGGGGAGAGTGAGGTCAAAGGATGCTCTGACCGTGGACGTCCCCTTGAAGAGTCTTGAGGACCGCCTCAAGCTTAAATCTCACAGGACCAAAATCATGTGAGCTACTAAAGAAAAGCCCAAAAATCTATGGATATTAAGAAATGTACTCACACAGGCTGAAAATCACTGAAATTCTCCAACTCTCTCCATGCGGTGGTGTGAGGGCAGGCAGGCCATCATTCATGGTTTAGCAAAGCAAAACATTGAAAACCTTTCTCTGTGGACTGCTGATTCTGTTCTGCATGGCAGGGGAGAGATGAATGCGTGGAGGGAGAAAAAAACATTTTAAACAAATTCTGTCAAATGAATTTGCATGAGTATACATTGCTAAATATTATCAGGGGAGCCATTCCTTCACCAACTCCTTGTAGCGGTGTTACATTACATATACAAGGCATTAATTGTAAGAAACACTAATTTGAATCCTGGCTTTATCTTGTTGGTAATTCTAATCCTGCATGACAACTATTCTGCTATAATGTATCTTCTTCCACAGGAAATTTGTGATCTTAACAGTTTTTCTGTCTAAAAGGAAGCAGCAGTTGCGAAATCAGTTGAAGAAACAATTCAAGCCTTGTCGTCCTCTTCGCTGAATCAGACATTTTGAATTTGTACGATATTACCTGTGAATTCAGGTACTTAAAGCTGCTGTAAGTAATTTTTATAAAAATTACTTTTTGTCATATTTGCTGAAATGTTCACTATATCCTGACAGTAGTATATTAGACAAATAATCTGTGAAAAAATCTGGTTGTGGCTCTGATTGGTTGTTTTCATTCAGGCCCGTTGGATTCTTGCAAATGCTATTAGGAGCACTAGGAGGAGCCAGAGGAACCTGATTTTTTTTACAGATTATCTGTCTCATGTGCTACTGTCAGGATATAGTGAAAGTTTCAGAAAATATTACAAAAAGTAAAATAATTTTTTTTTAATAAAAATTACCTACTGCAGCTTTAATATATATGAAATAATTATTGTCCCATGATTGAAGGCTTCCATCACGTGCCTCCTTTTCCATTCATTCCATTCCTCCTGACTGTCTCTTAGCCAGTTCATGTAATGGAACATGAATCCAGGACCCCCAAATGACGGTGTGAATGGATCACTGCAGCCTCTGCAGGAGTCAAAAACTGTAAAAACTGCTGTATTATATTGTCAATGTGCACTGTATGACTCGACAGGCTAACTGCTCTGCCCATTCTTTGTTGCTTTGTAAGGATGCTGAGTGTTTTATCTATGTCTTTGTGTTGTGTATAATGCAAAAGTCACTGTATTTTATTTTTTTGTAATATTTTTTAAGGGGAACAGTATTTAATTGTAGGTATCTTATTGCTGTGGTCTATGCTGGTCATATCAGTATTTGTGGACGTGTCAGAAAAGTGCCAGTACTTTAGCAGGCTCTATTGGCAGAAATGGAATATAACATTCATAGGTATGTTTCCATTAGTGTATTATAAAAAATAAGAATCGTGGTGTTTTTGTAATGAAAAGAATTAGAGGGAGCGGGTCCTCTTCTACAGAGTTTGCCATATTGAACTACCATGTTTTTACTGCAGCTAATACAGTACAGTAGTAGTTAGTTGGTAATAGTAGTAGTTTTTTTGCAAGTTTTGCGCCTGACATAGTTTCTCACGCTTGGAAGGCGAGCTGTATTCAATTGGTATTCTTCACCGCTAGCTACCACTAAATCCTACACACCGGTCCTTCAAAGAATGTCTACTTGAATCATAGCTAGTTTCAAGAATTTAGGGGAATCTTGCGGTGTAGTTTTGTAATTGCAAGTCTGTTGCTTCACCCTCGCCTTCCAGGTGTGAAAGAGACACGTGTGAAAACATACCTATGAATATTATATTCCCTTTCTGCCAATACCTCCTTCTAAATGTTACACACTGGACCTGTAAAGAATGTCTATTTTAATTGTAGCTAATTTAAAGAAATAATTCAACACTATTCGAAATCCTCTCATTCACTTCCTTTCCAAGAGTGAGTTGAGGAGATAAGCAGTCAAAGTATGGAGCCAGAGTCAGAAAAAAAGTTTTTACATTTCTACTTCTGTACGGATTAAACTAACAAGATAAGATGTGTTAATTGCCAAACTTTGCAGGTTGAGTGAGTACTCAGCTGAAACAATACCCGAGTACTGAGTTTCATCAGGGTAAAATGATACAATATCAGTACTTGTACTGTAAGTATGGCAAAGTTTTAAAATATAGCAACTTCCGATCAACCCATATCAATTTCAGGCTTAAATCAACATCTTTCAGTTAGTACCACCCACTTCTGGTTTAAGCCCCACCTTTGTCTGGGTTAAGCCACACCCATTCCAAGTACAGCTATAGATAATTTAGTTGGTAAATTTTGTTTGCTGATCCCTATTAACTACATCCTGAATCCAGCTACCAATTTATATCCTGACATGAGACTGATCTCAAAATGTTGAACTATTTGTTAAAGTTATAAGTCAAATCAAAATCAACATTTTACACACTAGAATCTTATGGAGATGCTCCAGACAAACCTCCATTCTGGCTTTGGGATAAGGTTTCACAAATACTGATCAGACTGCCCTAGACCCTAAAGTAACGTAATGAATTCTTTAATCGAGTTAAGAACTCTCTAAACTGTAATGCCACTGCACTCCCATTTTCACTCCCAGGAATCCCACCGCTCATTTGCCTTTCACTCTGTACTCACCAGTGCTGCTAACCTCATTTCACCACTGAACCAGGATGCTTTTACACATACCTAAAGGTGCTAATGTGATATGAATTCAGACTAACGCACTGTACACGTTGTTTCATGTGAATGGACACAGAACAGCTTGTGAAAGGGAAGTGATGGGCAAGTCACAACTGAATATGAATTATAAAGACACTGGTCATTACTGTTGAATGTAGTATTAAATGTCATTTTAAAGGAGTAATAAGTAGGATTATGATCATGTTTTAAGTAGGGTTGGCACCAATTTCTAGATTTACTTTGGCTTTATTTAATCTGACCTAGTACAGCTGCCTAATATTGCTCACATGTGGCATAGATTGCATAAAAGTATGTGGACATCCTGTTCACATACTTATGTAGGGCTGTTTTTCATTGTTGGGTATTGGCTTCCCAGTTCCAAAGAAGGCCAATCTTAATACTACAGCATATGATGCCATTTTAGACAATAGTGTACTTCCAACTTTGGGTTTGTCCCTTTTCTGTTTCAAAATGAAAATGTCCCTGTGCACAAAGCCAGCTCTATAAAGAAATTGTTTCCCCAGTTTGGTGTGGAAGAACTTGACTGGCCTGACCTCAACCCCATCCAACACCTTTGGGATGAACTGGAGCACCAACTTTGAGCCAGACCTTATCCCCAACATCAGTGTATGTATGACCTGGTAGCAAATCTCTGCTGCCAGGTTCCGACATCTGGAGGAAAGCCTGAAACTAGAAGAGTGGAGGCTATTATAGAAGTACATTAATGCTCCTCTGTTTGGGGTCAGGCCCCCTTAAGAACTTAAGGGACCTGGGCTCAACACTAGATGTCTTCTGGAATTCACCATTTTACCATAGAAAACCTATACTTAAACCTTAGTTTTTGACCCGGTCCAATGAGGACTGATTTAAAAAAAAAAAATTCTTCTGCTGTGGTTATGACGTACCTCATAATTAGAGCTGAGAGTGCCCTCAGATTCATTGAGATCCACTTAGACGCACTGACCCAGTCAAATGAGACCCATCCTAGCTTGTCCCCGAGTTGGGTCTTGGTTCCTCAGTGGCCCTGTGATGACATCTTGGTCATATACAGTGGTTTACAGGTGATACATTCAGTGCACTCAAACCGGACCTCACAGCGTACCATTGCTTCTCTCTGTGTGTGAGGATGCAGAGTTGTTGTCAATCCTACTGGCTACTATAAAGGTCAGAAACTAATTAATGCTCTTTTAAAACGACTGCAGGGAATGTATGTGCATGATGAGATCATATGTGCCTTCATGTTCTCCTGCATCCATGAAACGCACGAATCCTGTGCTCTGTTTTTACTTGTTCAGAAACCTCACTGTGAGAAGTGCACAGGGACGCAGCTCTGCTCAAATATTCAGATGTTGTGTTGAGCTTTGTGGTATTGTACAGACATACAGTGGTTTACAGTGATGAGACTTAACAACAGAACACACACAGGACAGATAAGTACCCCAGCTATGTACAGAATGGTAGTGATTTTACACTGGAGTTGTTTTTACTAAAGCTGTACCATGTACAGCACACTCTAGATCTGTAGAGGAGGAGTTCTATTCCAAAATATATTTTCACTTAAGGAAATAATAACAAGTACTCGTATATCAGAATGTCTTATAGTTATCTGTTTCTGGGCTGCCTGCTGATTTCTAAAAATGAATACCTCATTTTGGAATAAAACACTTGTCTATATGAGGAGGCTTTTATGATTTGTCTGTAAAGTAAGATGTATACTTTCAATCCAAGTGGATAGTCACCCTGTAATTTTGTGTATATAGTGGTAAATGGCGCTTCAATTGGAATCAAAGATGGCAAGTATAAAATATGTCTTAAACAGTGTTCAAGGGAAAATAAATGCACTAAGTGCAATGTCCAAATTGCAGAAGCGAACATTTTTTGATACTGATACAGGTCAAATGTGTGACAAAACAACATTATTAACTACCCCAAGATAACAAGTATTTACTGCAGACTGAAAAAAAACATATGTAACACAATATTATGGCTTCATTTTATATTGAAGGGTGTTATTTCATATCTAATTTGCAAATAAGAACCCTGTGTCTGACAATGATTATATCTTTTAAGTCTTGAGGGGGTTTCACTGGGTCTTTAGAAAATGGGGAATATTTTAATTTCACTATTATTTCATTGGCTAGACGTTAGCCCAATGAAAATATATAAGAATGACTATTCTGTTCAAAGGTTTCACACTCTTCACTGCCTAATCAATCTAGGGGATCCTTGATACCTAAAAGATTGAGAAGCAAATCTATGCAACAGTCGCTGAAGACAAGAAAACCTTCATCCATTAATGACAGAGAGAAAATGAGATTGTATAACACTGTTTGGGGTCTTGCAGAATATTTTTGTTCAAACTGAAATATATTGCTTCGCCAATAGAAATAAATGATCAGTAACACAAACAAACAAACAAAGAGCTGATATCTGCCTTCAAAGAAAAAAAGAGAAGATTAGTTGAACTGTTGAACCCCCTCCACGTCCCCGCTCCATTTATAAGAAACATCTTCTTTTCCCACTTTGCACTGCTCACCCTCGCCACCCCTGCCTCATCCCTCCCTCCCCCTTCTCTTTGAAGCTATGATGGTGCATTCCTTTGTGTGTCTGAGCGACTCCCATCCAGGCTGGCTGCTGGCTTGGTCAGTGCTTCTCCTCCCTAATAATGGCAAGTGAAGCAGCACAAACATCCGCCTCCTCTGCCTCCCTGACCCCACAGTGTGGGGGTGGAGGAGCTAGGAATGCTGGCATGAAACCCTGAGATCATCCTGCTACAGTTGTTGCTACACAATGTTATAAAGAGTTTGGTCTAGACCTGCTCTATTTGAAAAGTGTCCTGAGATAACTTCTGTTATGAATTGGCGCTATGCAAATAAAATTGAATTGAATTGAATTGAATACTCCAAAGCAAGTTAGAGAAGGCTGCGGAATTGTTTTCTAAAACTATAGAAGCACATACAGCTGTCAGCAGTCAGACTCAGCAGCCAGATGGAGTTAATTAGTTAGTGATCTGTGATCAGTATATCAGATATGTTATCGGGATAATGAGGGCCTTTGCATCGACACCTGGTATTAATAAGTGTACTACACTGGGTGCCAAAAGCTTCATGGGGGGTCGCAAGGCCTTCTTGACATTGAGGCATATAAGAATATACACATTAGGCTTGTATCTCAGCGTTTGGTTCACTTGAAGAAGATAAATGTAAGGTGCACTATTCAACCATAACATTATGACCACCTGCCTAATATTGTGTAGGTCCCCCTTTGCTGCCAAAACAGCCCTGACTCGTTGAGGCATGGACTCCACTAGATCTCTGAAGGTGTGCTGTGGTATCTGGCACCAACACGTTAGCAGCAGATCCTTTAAGTCCTGTAAGTTGTGAGGTGGGGCCTCCATGGATTGGACTTCTTTGTCCAGCACATCCCACAGATGCTCCATTGGATTGAGATCTGGGGAATTTGGAGGCCAAGTCAATACCTTGAACTTGTGTTCCTCAAACCATTCCTGAACCATTTCTGCTTTGTGGCACGTCACATTTTCCTAGTGGAAGAGGCCACTGTCACTAGGGAATACTGTTCAATGAAAGAGTGTACATGGTCTGCAACAATGCTTAGGTAGCTACAACGCAAAGTATCATCCACATGAATGGCAGGACACAAGGTTTCCCAGCAGAACATCGCCCAAAGCATCACACTGGCTCCGCTGGCTTGCCTTCTTCCCCTAGTGCATCCTGGTGCCATGTGTTCCCCAGGTATATGACGCATATGCACCCGGCCATCCACAAGATGTCAACGACAACAGTTCAGTCAGCACCACTTTTGTCAAAATATCTTATATTCCAAGCAGAATTTTACATTTGGCGGTATGGCTCTGTTCTGGGACCTCCTTGTCCTTCCGCGTGCCTACGTGGAAAACCTTAAGGCAGGGAGAGCACACCTCCCTGCCCTTCCATGTGCATACATGGAAAAGTTTAAGACAAGGAGAGCGGCAGCAGAGACCCCCCAGGGTACAGAACAGAGCAAGCATCAATGGCAATCAGAAAATGACATTGATTAATTAGACACAACATAAAAAGGAGGAGCTGGGGTGGAGGTGGGTGCAAAAAGGCTTGTAGAGGAGCAGCAGAGATAGGCAGGCAGGCTAAAGCAGCTTAAATAAGGCGCCACGTAGATGTTTGCCAATTGGATGCTTGAGGAAATCAGGTGAGCTGTCAGCTGACTGTGTATGGGATCCAATGGGAAGCTTAGAGGAATCAGCTGATGTATGTTTATGACTAGCTATGATTGTATGATATAGCTGTAACTGAAAGCTAAGCCTGACTTCGTGCCCTGCCTGAACTAACGCTATGCTCAATGATTCATCCAACCCTGCTACCTTCTTCCATTGCTCTGTGGGCCAGTTCTGATGCTCACGTGCCCATTGTAGGCACTTTCTGCAATAGGCAGGATTCAGCATGGGCACCCTGACTGGTCTGCAGCTACACAGCCCCATACCAACAAACTATGATGCACTGTGTGTTCTGACCCCTTTCTATCAGAACCAGCATGAACTGTTTCAGCAGTTTGAGCTACAGTAGCTGGTCTGTTGGATCGGACCACACGGGCCGTACTTCACTCCCCACGTGCATCAATGAGCCTTGGACCCCCATGACCCTGTCTCTGGTTCTTTTCCTTCCTTGGAGCACTTTTGATAGGTACTGACCACTGCAGACTGGGAACACCCCACAAGAGCTGCAGTTTTGGAGATGCTCTGACCCAGTCGTCCAGCCCAGTAGCGTAACATGTTTTTAATTGGTCCCGGTGCACTCACCGTCCCAAAAAGCATGCTCGTCGACACACGGGGGACACACAACGACCCAGGCACTTGCAAACATGCAGTCTTTAGTCAGCACCACGGACAGCAGACAAAGCACCAAACTTATCAATGCAAATCTGACAGCTCAAACCGTCACAGCAGGCTGTCTCCAACTGTCAAACAACTGAAATAACATTGCTCATGGTACAGTAACAAATCAACACAAAGTAGCTTACAGAGTATGCCAATAACCACAGAACAAACAGCGATCAAGAAAACAACAGAGCAACTCATTGTAGGCCTACACAGTATGAATGAATGGTTTCCTTCTGTCCAAGGTTTCTGCCTCTTAAAAGGAAGTTTTTCCTTGCCGCCATCGCCAAGTGCTTGCTCATGGTGGGAATTGTTGGGTCTCTGTAAATCATTTTATAAGGAATACGGTCTAGACCTTCTGTATTTGAAAAGTGTCCTGAGATAACTTCTGTTATGAACTGGCGCTATACAAATAAAATTGAATTGAATTGAAGTGTGCATTTACTAACATTTGATTTAGAAAAAAAGTAACAGGTGATTTAAATCCCTGATCGCACTCCATAACAAAGACACACCTTACTCACCTATTTCAAGTTCACCCTTCAGGCCTTTTGCTCACACATCAAAATCAGCATACCCAAATTAACACTGTCAGATTTAATTATAACACTTTTAAAGTGTCTATATGGGTCCACGCCACGAGTGTTAATTTAACTCTTTTTGGAGTGTTGGTACTTTAACACTGCTTTGGTGTCATTTTTGACTCATTTTGGAGTTAATATTTAACACTTCTTAACACCAACCAGTGTTAGTTTTTCTCAACACTGTTATGTAGTGTTAGACATTAACTCTCTCAGAGGATCATTTGTTGACTATACTATGAAGTGTTTGCCCCATAACACTTGAAAGGTGTAAATACAGCTCCTCGTGGAAATTATATTTACATTAAAGTTTGCTGAAATAAAGGTGGACATATCTTGTGTTTTACAAATAAACATTTATTTAAATATTTGCACCACAAAAAACTGAAATTACATTATAAATGTAACAATATGGAACAATATATGTCCTTTCACTCTCATTAGAGTATTGCTTCTGAAATGGTCTAAAGCAATGGTTCTCAGACTTTTTCGGTCATTCCCCACTTTGGACAAGGGGGAACTTTCAAGCCCCACCTGCCCCCATCGCCCCAACACAATGCTAATAAAACACCCAACAAGCTTAAAATGTTCCAATTTATTGAAGTAACAAGTAGTATCAGTATAGTAACAAGTTGTATCTAAATACAAACTAACTATCTACATCAAATAACAGCAAGTTCAAAAATAAAGAAAATAAAAGTGCATCTGTGTCATAACTTACATGATACAGTAATGATTACTTTGTTTGTGGGTGTTTTGTTTTGAATGTATGATCTTTGTTGTTATTAAAGAAAGGCATTGATAAAGCAGACATCCCAACCTGCAATAAGTCATTTCAGGGAGGTTCGTTCCGGGGATGTGGGGGTGGGGAGGGGAATTCCTGTTACACTTGGTATCGCCCCCGGGGGTGATCGGTCTAATAAGCGGCAACACACAGCTAGGGCTGGGCGATAAATCGAATTTGTAGTTAAACACGATTTATTTTTAGTTAAAATCGGTTTTCTCTTGAACTTCCACAACACTGTCGCTCCCTTTGGGCTCCCGTAGGTCAGAGTGCGCTGACCCCTCCGCCCGCCTCTCCACAGATGCTCACAACATGGCAGCAAGCCAGGATGAGCTCGTCCCCAAAAAAGGCACAGTGTCATCGGTTGTTTGGAACTGGTTTGATTTGTGGTGTCCGACAGCGAACAAACCACGACCCACTGCAA